ACTAGTTCGTTTGGGACACTTTTGACACTCCGTTGATAAAAACAATGGTTCCCACCCCTTTTAAACTCCCCCTAAACTTTCCACCTCAGTCCAATCTTTACCCCCACCTCAACCCACCCCCTCCCCCTTTCCCTACCCTAGCAGTATATTGCTAGGATATTAAGGAAGTTGGGGGAAAGAAGGTTTAGGAGGGAGGTTCAGGGTGATAGAAACATCTATTTTTACCAACAAAAGTACCCCAAATAAACTGATGTAAGTATTTGGTGTATAAATGTGTGTGTGAATACTATTGGGAACCTATGGCTCAAGCAGTTTTCTATAGACCTACTCATGAGAATTATAAGCAGATACCCCTCCGTTTCATAAAAAAAGTTCTGCCATGGTTAAATTTTTTTGAACTTTGATCGCATATTACGAAAAAATATATTGAATTGTCATATAAATTTAATATTAATAAATTTATTTTGAAACATAATTTTGAAATTTGTTTTTCTATAATATTAATTATGTATAAATAGATATATTAATGGTCAAAAGATTATATCGAAGAGCAAATTCTATGGTGGACCTAAGGTCCACCATGGACTTACATTTGAGCAAAATAAACATTTCTTTATTACTTAAATAAGTATTTCTTTTTTTAAATAAAAAAAGATTTTTTTATGTGAGAAGATCGACAAAAATGATATGCAGCCAAGGTGCACTGAAGAAGCATTCTATATCGAAGAGCGTGAAAAATCAAATGAGAAATTAATTTAAGTGGGACGGAGGAGTAACATATAATCTACCTTTCTCTGCAAAAGAAGATAGAGTAACCAAAAGGAAAATTCCAAGAGAAGGTGCAACATAGGGAAACCACCGCCCGGAGGCCATTCACAACTCTGGTCTAAGTAAATTGTGACTGATCTAAGAATTGCTGCTCGTTTCAACATAGTGATTCTATATTTATAAGAGATCTAAGATTGTAGTTAGGTGATCAAATTAGGCCTGTTAGGTATTCCACTAGACAAAACAATCCATAACCAGGGAGTAGTTGTGAATGACCAAAATAAATATGAAAATGTTTCTCTCGTCTTATAGAAAATTGCTGCTCGATACTTCTAATTTTTAAAATATACTGTGAGGTGCTGCTCGATACTTCCAATTTTTAAAATATAGTGTGAGGTACTTTAACGGGACCGTCACTTTCATCATCATCACCTATCATCATGTTGATCATCATGATCATCATCATCTCCTTCGGTCCTCTCCTTCCTATCCAGCCCCCACATTCCCCCTCTTTTTTTCTTCATCTATTTTTTCTTCTTCCACTTCTGTTATTATTATTATCATATCATTGTTAATTTATTATTGAGAAATTTACCTAAATAGGACTAAAACATAATGACTTTCCCAATATAGGACCATATGTTTTTATTTCCTAAAGTATGACCTTTGGTCATTATGAATTAGTCATTATTCAACTAAATGTCCAGCATCATTTGGACATTATTCTTCTAACTAGTCATTATTTAGTCCTATTTAGATAATAAAAAAGTTTTAGTCCTACATTGGGAAATGACTTATGTTTTAGTCCTATTTAGTGCAATTTTCACTTTATTATTATTATTATTATTATTACTATTATTAGTATTATTAATTTACTATAGTTATTATTATTATTTATTAGTGGTTTTACTATCTTTTCCCCTTTCACTTCTATTATTATTTTTTAATTATTTATTATTATTATTATTATTATTATTAATTATTATTAGTTATTGTTATTATTATCAATTTACCATTTTTCTTCTTCCACTTCTATTATTATTACTCCCTCTGTCGGGAATGATGTTCCTGGTTTGACTTTTTCTCATTTTTAAGAGGGGTGGAAAAAGGCTTTAAAATGTCCAATATACCCTTGCTTTAAAAATAAGGGATGTGGATAAGAAAGAGGAGAAAGTGGCGGATGGAACATAAAGTAAAATCCACTATTTGCAATCATTGAGAGAAAGTGGAAAAAGTGTACTTTACAATCCAAAACAGCAAAAAAAATTCATATTCCCCCCAATTTTTTTAACTACCCGCCCAAAAGTACCCCTAAAACCCATTCAAAATGGGTTATTACATCACTTTAAAACCTCCCACTTCAACACTTTCCATTTTTAGCTGCCACATTCTTCAAGCATATTCCCCTTTTAGGAACCAGCCACAGCACCCAAATCTGCCCCTCTTCTTCTTCATGCCCTTTTTCAGTTTCTGGTTCATTTTGCTTTTTTCCTCTCTTCTTCCCGGTGCCTGCACGTATAAACGTAAATGAGTTTAGACATAAACTCCAAGAATTTGGAGAAGACAACGAGGCAGCTGATTAGTGATGCACTACTAAGTCATTGCAAAGAGAATCCTGATGGTACATTTTCAGCTCAGTATGGGCAAATCAACAAACTCGCTTCAGAGTTTAATGTCTGTCGAAAAACAGTCGGCAAGATATGGGCTATTGTAAAAAAACAGTTAGAGGATGGGGTTGCCATCGATGTGAGAAGCAGGATTGCAGGAAACAGTGGAAGGAAGAGGGCTTTCATGGATTTAAAAGTAGTTGCAGACACTCCCCTAAGAAAGAGGACCAATCTGAGAGCATTAGCAGCAGCCATTGGGAAGCCTAAGTCCACAGTTCATGAGTGGGTAAAGAGAGGTATCCTTAGGAGCCATTCTAATGCTATCAAACCGTTTATTACAGAAGCTAATAAGATTTCCAGGTTAAGGTTCTGTTTAGATCAGATAGAACCTGATACCATTCCCAGCAGCCCTAAGTTTAAGAGTTTTCACAATGTGTTGCACATTGATGAGAAATGGTTCTTTATGTCAAAAACCTCCCAGAAATTTTATCTCCTTCCAGAAGAGGAAGATCCATACAGAGCATGTAAATCAAAAAGATTCATAGCAAAAGTTATGTTCTTATGTGTGGTTGGGAGACCACTTTTTGGAGAGAATAGAGAACTGTTGTGGGATGGAAAAGTAGGATAATAATAATAATAATAATAATAATAATAATAATAGAATTATCATTATGAACATGATGATAATGATGAAAGTGATGGTCCAATTGGATTTGAAGGAAGAGGATGAAAAGTCAAATTTCCTACTCACTCCATCCCACAAAAAGTTCCCATTTGGATGTATTTTTGGTCAAACAATTACACGCTTTGACCATAAATTAAATATAGTCTAAATAAAGAAATGCTTAAAAAATTTGAGATGTCAAAACTAGATCCTAAGATGAATTCAATTATATTAAATTTATTTTATAATTCAATATACCTTTCTGATAGAGTTGTATAATGATTGTTTTGTTGAATAAGAGAAGATTACATGTGCATATATAGGGAAGCAATGGAAACTAATTACAGAGTGACCCCACTATTCTATAATAATTATATATATATCTATTATCCCCCCGTAAGCTGAGCATCGGGTACGAGGGGCAAATTGGAGCATAGATAAGTAAAGGGCCGCAACGGTAAGGGCTTAGTGAGAATATCGGCAAGCTGCTCAGATGATGGAACATGATACGGAATCATACGACCAGCCATAACCTCATCACGAACGAAGTGGCAATCAGAACCAACATGATTCATCTGATCATGGAGAATAGGATTTTTGGTAACACAGATGGTTGACTCGTTGTCGCAAAAAAGCCGAGGGCGTGAGGGAGGAATGCCGAGCGCATCAGTGATATAACGAAGCCACATGGCTTCCGCGACTCCCGCGGCCATGGCTCTATACTCGGCCTCGGTGGATGATCGAGAGACACTTTTTTGCTTTTTTGTGCACCAGGAGATGAGGTTGGACCCAAAGAAAATCATGTAACCAGTGAGGGAGCGCCTATCATCTTTGTTGGATGCCCAGAATCTGAATAGACGGAGATCTCCATATCCCCTATTTTGAAGAGAATACCCTGCTGAAGAGTCCCCTTAAGATAGCGTAGAATGCGTTGCAAGGCTAGGAAGTTCTGAGTGGAGGGATTGTGCATAGTTTGAGAGACACGGTTCACAGCATATTGTATGTCCGGGCGAGTGTTAGCAAGATAATGAAGGCCGCCAACCAAGCTTCGGTATAAGGTGGGATTCTCGAACGGGACCGTGGGCCCCTCGGCCGGCCGAGCTGCCATGGGGGTTGGCGCTGTCTTGTAGTGGGTCATGCCCGCACGGTCAATGAGCTCTGCTGCATATTTGGCCTGATTGATGAAGATAGTAGAAGGTGTGCGCCGAACCTCGATCCCAAGAAAGTAGTGGAGCGGTCCAAGATCCTTAAGCCGAAACTCCCGGTGCATGGCCGTAGTGACGACAGTGATGAGCTGATCGGAGCTGCCTGTAATGACAATGTCATCCACGTATACCAGGACAATAACTATTCCACGAGAGCTGTGAAAAGTGAACAGACTCGTGTCATGAAGACAAGTCCGAAAACCCAGATCCTGCAAAAATGAAGAAAGTTTGTTATACCAGGCCCGGGGAGCCTGCTTGAGGCCGTATAGAGACTTCCGAAGGCGGCAGACATGAGTGGGATAAGAGGAGTCAATATAGCCAATGGGTTGCTCCATGTAGATATCGTCATCAAGATCCCCGTGCAGAAAGGCATTGCTGACATCCAGCTGATGTAGAGGCCACTGGTGATTAAGAGCAAGAGAGAGGACTAGACGAATCGTCTGGTGTTTTACCACCGGACTGAAAGTCTCCTTGTAATCAATTCCATACTTCTGGTGGAAACCTTTGGCCACTAGACGAGCCTTGTACCGTGAGATCGCGCCATTTGCGTCCCGTTTGATGCGATACACCCATTTGCACCCGATCGGCTTTCGATTCCAGGGCAAGGGTACCAACTCCCACGTGTGTTGTTCCTGCAAGGCCGCAAACTCCTCATCCATAGCCTAACACCAAACTCTATGTTGGGAGGCTTGTTTATAGTAGAGGGCTCAGTGTGAAGGGGAACGGTGGTATGGTAGACCTTGGGTTTAAAAATACCGGATTTAGCACGGGTTTGCATTGGGTGAGTGTTGGGTGGAGGAGGAGGAGGATTTGTTGGGGGCCGGTGCGACAGTGGGAAACCAGGGGGTATTGGTGGGGTAGGCTGGGCCGTGGAGGAGGGGTGGGTTGCGGGATGATAGGGTGTGGGCCGTGGGCTGTGATGCTGAATGGTGGGCAGGATAGGAGACGTGGCCTTGGGGTTTGCGGCAGGGAGGTGCTGGTGGGGTGGGGCAGTGCCGGGGGTTGGGATTGGCGACACGGGAGCGTGTAACCTGGAGAAATCAGGAGTGACGTGAGTGTTGGCACCCGTGTCAAGGTACCAATTACCGTTTTGGGTGCTTGTGGCCGCATGCATCGCACGAGACCCGCCGGATGAAGAACTCTCAGCAGTAGACTCATCATAGCGATACCAGCACGAGGCGGCGGAATTGCCTTGTTTATCACAAATCTTGCAGACAGGGAGTTCACAACCTTGAGACCCACGCCCGCCACCACCACGGTACGGGCCTCCACGAGAGGACCTGCCGCCCCCGCGCCCATGATGTGGCTGAGAATACTGCTGCACCGAGCCGCCACCACGCCCCGATTGCTGTGTACAGCCGCGACTACCACTGCGGCGCTCGTCCTGCTGGCCTCGGTCTCCACCGGCCGTGTAAAGAGCCGTGTGGGTACCCCCGATGCTAGACTCGGCCATGGTTAGCTTTTGTTCGAATTCTAGATTTAGTTCCTCCGCGCCGAGCCAACCAGAGATCTGAGCAAGAGTGAGGGAGGCCTCGTTCATGCGAACAAGTTGTTTGAAGGATGAATAATCAGCAGGGAGGCCACGTACAACAGCGTTGATGATGTCCCGTTCAGGGATGATTTCATTAACGGCATCAAGATCAGAAAGAATGGACTCCACTTCATCCAAATATTAGGTCATCGTTTTAGAACCCTTCCGAAGGGTATGCAGGCAATCTCGAAGTTGGAAGATATGAGCCTTGGACAGGGAGTTGTACCGTGCGGCTAGGGCAGCCTAGAGAGAGAGACGGAACTGGTGAAACATTGGGCATACTTATGAACAGACGGGCTGAGAATAGCAAGAAGACAAGCCTGGATCTGTGTATCAATCAAGGTCCAGAGGGCAAAGTCTGGATTATCAATTTGACCGCCATCTTTTTGGAGTTTTTCCGGAGGGGCTTTGTCGTCTCCGGTCACCCAGCCGAGAAGAAGGTGAGCGGACAGAGCGGTGGTAACGTTCAGGGCCCAGGCAGGATAATTGGTATCCGTAAGTTTATCATGAACCAAAGTATGGAGATTTTGCATAAATAATTTGATGCCGGTAGGGTGCTTCGATAAGGGATCCGTGCCGGACATGGTAAGGGAGATCAGCACTAAGAACTAGACAGAGAGGATGGGGAAGTATTGGTTTGAGGTTTCTTGATGGCCTGTGCCAAATGATCGTGGGCAAAAGGAGGCTGGCAGAGAGAGGTTGTACGCACGCCGGCGGAAAGAAAATTAGGGTGGGAGAAAAAATTTTAGGTTTTCTTTTTGGGAAGAAAAGCCTTGGCTCTTGATACCATGATAGAATTGTATAATGATTGTATTGTTGAATAAGAGAGGATTACATGTGTATATGTAGGGAAGCAATGGAAACTAATTACAGAGTGACCCCACTATTCTATAATAATTATATATATATATATATCTATTACTTTCTCACAATTTGTAGTCAAAGCGTGTAAATATTTGACTAAATACTATTCAAAATGGGAACTTTTTGCGGGACGGAGGGAGTAATACTTTAAGGTATCTTCCATTATATTTTAAAAATTGAGGGTACATGGGAGTTCTTACAACAAAACTTAGGACATCTTGCATCAATTTTTTGCTCGTCTTAATGTTGTGTGATCTGAAGATTTCGCCTAAAATAGAAAGGTAAGTTCTATCGATCCGTAGTCAGACCTGCTATGTTATATGGGGCAGAGTGTTGGGCGGTTAAGAAGACTCATGTGCGTCGTCTGCATGCGGCGGAGATGCGGATGTTACGATGGATGTATGGGAAGACAAGGTTGGATAGGATTTCGAACGAAGTTATCCGACGTCAGGTAGGCATGGCACCGGTGGAAGATAAGTTGTGGGAAGCAAGGTTGAGATGGTTTGGCCATGTGAGACGGCGGGATGCTGACGCCCCTGTACGAAGATGCGAGAGGATTACGGTTATCGGGGGAAGTAGGGGAAGGGGTAGACCTAGGAAGAATTGGAAGGAGGTGATTAGGCTGGATTTAGGACTTCTCGACCTGACTGAGGATATGACCCTAGATAGGAACCTTTGGAAAACTAGGATTAGAGTAGCTGGATAGGAGCTCAGTGTTGTAGAGGTTGTTTTGTAGTGTGTTGTATTTGTTTGGAATCTTCTGCTATTGCTTGTACTTGTTGCTTATACTTGGTACTTTATCTGTTTTATACTGTGTTCCCTTCCATATTTTTGTGTAGGTGGAGCCGGGGGTCTCTTGGAAACAGCCTCCCTACTTCCGAGTAGGGGCAAGGTCTGCGTACACACACCCTCCCCAGACCTTACTGTTGTGGGATTCACCTGGGTTGTTGTTGTTGTTGTTTTCTATCTAACTAGACAAAAAATTTCTCTTCCCACATTTATTATTATTTTTCCTTTTAAATTACTTAGACCAAGCACAGTGTTAACGTCCATATGCCATCACTTTGATTGAGGTTGTTAGACACTAATAATGGTAATCCTAATTATGATACTATTTATATAATACTCTCTCCGTCCCATGAAATATTTCAACTTTCTCATCTTATTCGTCTCATAAAACATTTCAATTTTTCTAAAATGGACTAAATTCCCCACTTTAACTCTACTTTCCCACATCCCATCCATCACATCTCATCTTACTTTTTGTTTTTTAATTACTAGCTCATTCTCATTATTTTTAACAATTCATTGATGTGAAACATCACTTTTAAAAAGAAACCCTAAGGGCATTTGTGGAAGGTCAAACACAAAAGTACACCTCCCTTAAATCACCCAAAAGTCAAAAGTGGAAAACTTTTACAAGACAGAGGAAGTATTAGTCAACTTTTGTATTATGTTGGATCCTAATTATATCAGATCCCCCTATATATACTCTCTTGTATACTCTTTAATTCATTGAGTAAATATATTATTTCATTATTCAACATGGTATGAGAGCCTTGGTGACCAAGAGGTTACGAGTTTGAACCTCACTGCTATCAGTTTTTAAAAATTAATTTTCACGTGTAAGACTTGAACAAAAATATATCTCGCCTACATGTGAGGGGTTGTGTTAGACTTTAAAACCTATCCTGAGCTTACAACCACAAGCTTGAGTTTTTTGTTAAGTTGGTCCTTCATATAATGCGAATGGCTCTATTTCCATGTACTAGGCATGCCTGGTTGTAAAGAGGTACACTTAAGTATATAGTATGGACTACTTTGAAACTTTCAATCATGTTTTCAAACCATAGACTATTCAGATTATTCTTTTTTGGTTGTTAACAATATAATATTTAGTTGTTACATTAGTTGGATGTCTCTAATACTTTATTCATAGTGTAGTGCCTGAGAGGATTTATATGCAGCACCCCCAAGCTATACTTATCAACAATTTCCTCATGTATGCCATCTGAAGAAATCATTGTATGGTTCAAAACAGGCACCTCGAGCATGGTAGCATCAACTATCGGGATATCTTCTTATTTATGGCTTCTGAAAAAATGAGCATGATACCACTTTCTTTGTCATGCATACTTCTTAGGGCATCTCTATATTATTTTTATATGTTAATGATATCATTGTCTCAAGTAGCACCTTTACTCTCATCAACCACTTCATTAATGCCATGCAGCAAGAATTTTAAGTGAAAGATCTTGGTCTCCTTCACTTCTATCTAGACTTTAGGTTAAATGAACAAAAGATTGCTTGATTCTCTCTCAAAAAATATGCTTGAAAATTGCTCCACCGGGCTGACATGGAAGATTGCAAGACATCCCTGACCCCACCTTCTGGCTCTACAGGCCTAATTTGAGTGTAATTAGGTGAATGAAATGGCTGATGGTCGTTCCATTACTAGGTACTTGGCCTATCTTGGTTATAATCTTATTTCCTAGAGTACGTCGAAATATATCGAGTCGTGTCTCTAAATTGTCCACCAAAGAAGAGTACCCCACTCTTTTCTCTGCAACATCTAACACAATGTGGTTGTCCTATATATTTGATGTTTTGAAGATTGTGGTACCCCCTTTGTATTTACTCTTTGATAATCACATTACTATTTGCCTCACTAAAAATCATATGTTTTACAAGTGTATGAAGCATGTTGGCACTGATTGCCACTTTCTTCAAGAATAAGTAATTGCTGAAACTATGATTATCTCTCATGTTTCTTGTGTGGATTGCCTCGTCGATTTGCTCACAAAGGCACTTCCTTCTCCAGGTTACAGAGCTCCTCTTTTTGTTAGAAAAGAGTCCCAACACTCGGGGGTGAATAAAGTCTGAAACAAAATTGCAGGAATAAAATCGAGAGCGTGAAAAGTAAAGAGCGTAAAGAAAATGCAAACCAAGATTTACACTGGTTCACCACAACGTGTGGCTACGTCTAGTCTCCCGAGAGACTCTCTCGAGCTACACTACTTCCGTTAAGCTTACAGGTGCTTAACAAATTGTTACAACCTCAGAACTCGAGTCACACGACCCTCAAAATACCTTGCTCGGAGATACCGCACTCCAAAACTTCAACCCGAAAGAATGTACTCTTTCCTCGTACAACCAAGGGAAAAAAGCTTTCCTTCAAGTGTAAACTACACTTAAGACTCAATACAATAGCTCTCTTAAAGAGTAGATAATGAGTAAAATATATACGCTCAAGAACACAACAAGAACTTCACGAAATGACTCTCGAAAGCTATGAAAAATATGTAGAAATGATGCAATGAAGGAATGATGGTTTGTGAAGTGTTGTGTTCTAAAATGCATACCCAAAGACCCCTTTTTATACTAAAAAATAGGCTCCAAAGAGCGTGAGTTGATTGGGGATGATTGGCACAATTTGTGGGATTTAAATAAAAAAATGAATTTGCAGGATATTGGCCTAACATCGATGTTCAAATCCTGAACATCGCTCTTGAGGCTCAAAGTTTCCAGCTTGAATGTTCAATGGTCACCATAACATCGATGTTCAACACGTGAACATCGTTGTTGAATGAGTTGACCTCAAAAGAAGGAAAGATTTAGCCTTTAATTTCTTCCACTGCAAGAAAACAAGAAAAAAACGTTGGAATGTAGCGATGGATTTTAATTTGACGCCTACGACGACAGAATCAACGACAGAATTTACTCACCCACCACTGTTAATGATGGATTTGCCATTCTGTCATTAAATATACGCGGGAAGTACTCCGCGTCGTATTTGACGATGGAAAGAATGACAAAAAAGTTCCGTCTTCCGTTTGGTGAAAGAAAAAACTGTCGCTTAACGCTAGTTAAGTAAAACACTGTGTTTTGATCTAGCGACAGACATATTCTGTCACTACCTTCCATCGCCAAAAATCAGATCTTAAAAACCCTCGTCATCAATTTCCAGTTTTGCGAACAGAGACATGGAACATAGAGAAAAAAAATCACCGTTGAGTCTCCTCCGCGTCGCCTTACGATCCTCGTCGCCGTCCGCCACCATCAAGCGCCGGTCGTCTACCCATCTTCCTTCGCCGTCCACTTGAAAAATCAAGTTTTTTTTAAAACAATTTCAATTTGTGAACTAATTTGGTTTTAGTTATAACTGTATTGATTACATTAGGGTTTTTTTTAAATAACATGTTTTGTTTATAATTACAAATTTCATTTGTTTTAATTTTATAATTTTTTTAGATTAGGGTTTTTTCAAAGTTTAGTCATTTTTTTAAAAAAAATATTATATTCTTGAAACTTTTAGTGAATGAATATTGTGTTTATTAATTGTTTAATATATTATTTTAGATATTGTAATTGTTATATGAGGAATGAATATTATGCTTGATATTGTGTATGTTATACGAGGATTGAGTATGCATTATGTATGTTACTGAATATTGTAGTTGTTGCATTTATATTATATTTTTTAAAGTTTTTTTTTATAAATTCTATAACTTAAGAGTATGTTAATTTTATTTTTATGAACTTCTCAGAATGAGTGACTTTTAGGAAAATCGGGATTGGATGTATAAAAGACTTGATAGTTCAGGTTTTATATACAAATTGGGTTGACAAAGTAAGACAATGCATTGACTTTTGTGAGTCAAATCCAAAAGTAGACAGATTAAACGGGCAGATGCGTTGTCCTTGTAAGATTTGTAAGAATAGATATTTTCAAGATATCGAAGACATTAAGCTTCATGAGACAAGGTTTCACTCCTAAATATCTTGATTGAGTTTGCCACGGGGAGGAACATGGTGACTATACAAGTCATCATCGGTGCAGTAAATCTGCTTGTACCTTTGTTGAAATCGATAGGACCGAATACATGAATATGGTGATTGATGTTG